TATCAACGGTAGGTTGTGAATTTGTTCCTCGGAAAGTCAACGGGGCACCATTCTTCTGATCTGGTGACTGCCAAGGCCACAGAATCAGAATTATTTGCTGAAAATAATCAGTCACCTCTTGTGTGCTCAATGAAAATGTGTATAACTTGAATACTTTTCCTCCCATTGAATCAATGCTTCCCTTGAATTCATCAGTGACTGTACAGTCATGGTTCATTAGTTTCATGAGGTCCTGGTATCGGCCTCCACAGCCTGCTGAGAAGCTCAACTCCTGGAGATCAGGACATTTTGAAGTAGCTGAGTTACTCTGAACAAAAATCTCAGAGCAGGGCAACATTAGAATGTATTTAAAGTCCATTATTTACTCTCTATACCCCTGCTTTAGTTTCCACCAACTTAAGTGCCTCTTCAGCAGCTAAATTCAACTATGTTCAGTAGCTAGTTGCAAACTCTGTTTCTGCTCATTGCTAAATAGGCTGTGAACAGCACATTTATCAAGGCTCTTTGTTGAAGCTGCTGCCTGCAGCTGCAAAGAAAAACCAAAGAGGTGAGAGTAAAGTAAAAACAGTAACTTTGTCAAATAGAAAACCAAATGAATGCAACCTTTAAAATATAATTTACTGACAGTCCTGCAAATGTGGTTGATAATTCTTCGTGGGCTCATCAGTTCTTTAAGAACAATTCTTTTCTCATTGTCTATAGATTTATATTACTGAGGCAAAAATATTAGTGCAGCTTTAAATAATTCAGTTTCAGTCAAGCACACGGAAACTCCAATTCCATTCTGTTTATGCTGCTGTACTTTTTTATCTCAGCTCTTTAGCAGTACTACTGTACATGTGGCTCCAGAGGGAGCTGGACGAAGTCTGATAAATTCCCTCAAGTGACGTTTTTGAGTCTTCATCAGTTAGGGCAGAAAAACTCCAATTTAAACCAGGCACAAAGTGTCACAGTGCATAAATTATTTATTCTGCCAAGGTTCCTTTGAAGGTGCTTTGTAGTTTTGTTCTGTTTTTTATGTCAAAACTTATGTTGCACTATTTTTTCCAATTTGCGTGAAAAGATATTAGAGTTAAGATGAGATAAGATGAGATAAGATCAGAGTTAAGATGAGATAAGATGAGATAAGATCACCAGTATACTTACTAAGAGTATGAATGACAGTAAAAGGTGACTTTGAAACTCGTTCAGTTGCATTATCAAGATATATGCCTATAAAGGTAAGTGCACAACACACATACGGCAGCTCGCACGCTATCACTTTACAAAGCAGAAGATAACTAAAGCCACTTCCAACAGTCTTTTAAGGTCTTTAACTTTCCAATCAAATGCATTTTCCCAGTATAATAAAGCGCTGCAACATGAGCAGCGGCGGCGGCTCTCTCGCTGCTCTTGTCTGATCTGTGGCGTGGTAATTGAGGTCATGTGTCTGACAATAGGAAACTCATATCACAAGCTAGTGCTGCGAAGAAAGTGCTATTAATCACCCGGACAAGGGATCATGCCCAAGCACGCACACCCACACGCACGCATACAGAGAGAGAGAGAGAGAGAGAAAGCATTTATAAGGCTATGGCCACATCTTAAAAAAATTGCAGATAGTTAGGCATGTGTAAATATATCCAAAAGTGTGTGTGTGTGTGTGTGTGCTGTTTCCGAGCTGCTGGCTCATTCAGAAACAATTGGCCTCACTCAATTACTTTACAGACTGCAGCGTACCGTGTGCTTCTCTCACCCGAGCTGCAGTCTGCTGTGTATTCGATGAACTATTTGCCACAAAACATCACAGTTCCTGCAACAGCTTTTATTGATTTTGTATAAAGGTGAAAATATAACCTAGCGAATTGGTTGTTTTAGACGGCGGTCCAATTATAATACTTATGACAAGTTACAAACGCTGTTTGCGTTTCAGCCCACACAGTAGTTTACTGGGTGAATGAATCTGGAATCATATAATCCAGGTAACTGTAATTCATACGCATGAAAGGATTGTGTGAGTACTGGAAGGACATTTAGGATCTGTTCTTTTTGTTTTTTTCTATTCTGTTTACGTTTGATTAATCATATACATGAATGAGCTTTCAAAGAGCTTACAGCAGCTTTGCCCCAGCAACTAAGATGCAGAAAATGATCAGCTCAGCTCCTCACTGAATATAGAGGGAGGCTGCAGTGGGGCACATCTTGTATTTGGAGCAAAGGCTGAGGACATGGATCATTAAACTCTCCTGTGAGCTCATTACTCCCTCCAAAAGGCCAGGACGTTTCCAAGAAGCCAGGAAGAGATTAAGAAAGATGACTCTGATTTTCAAGTTTTTTTGCCAGTGGAATCTATTTATTTTCTGAGTAACTGATGGTGCTGTTCTAGTTGAAACAGTTGCCCACTTAGATTGGATCATTTCACATTTTCACTGCACCAACGTAATCACCACGCTCTCCGTTTGATGAGGAGAAATAAATCTCAGTTTGATTTCGCACCAGTTTCAGAGTCAGATTTTAAGCCCCACAATGTTTTTATCGTTGCTTCAACATGGGCACGGATATCCAGAGGTGGGTGGTAACGCATTACATTTACTCTGTTACATTGAGTAGTTTTTTTTCAATGAAATGTACTTCTGGGAGTAGTTGTATTGCAGAACACTTTTACTTAGTTACATTTATGGTGAAAATAATTACACACCACTGCGGATAACAACAGGAATGCATAGGCTGCAGACAAAATGTTCTTCTGCTGCTGTTCACATCAAGAGGCAAGTGAAAAGATGTGGTAGTTGTGAATAAATATTAAGTATTTTTATCATGCGAATATGGAAGTAAAAGGGGAAACAGTCTTAGTGTCTGAGATTCATCATTAAAAATAACCACTTTGATTTCTACCTTGAGAAATAAATATAAAAACACTTTGTATTGCAACTTTCTCGGCTTCTTTCCCTTTTCTCTATTATGACTTTTCCTCTCAGTTACACAACGACGCTTCGGTAACACAAGTAACTGTAAGTAGGCTCCTGACTGAAACATGCACTATGAGCTACTTAGTTCTCACACAGTTTGTGCCAAATCATTACCATGTATTTATTTCATGTAGCTGTCTTGCTGTGCAGGCTGCACTTGTAATTAAAGGGAACTTATCAATTGGCAGTTTACCAATTGAATTTTTTTTTTTTTTCTGGAAGCTCACAACAAACTATTGGGCCTGCAAAATGATGTTCTATTGGAAATTGTTCATGTTTTTTTAAATGTGTCCAAATAACATGCAGTGTGATGTAAATTGTTTTACAATGTATATACAGATAAATTAGTGGGTGATAAATTTATTTTTGAGCATTTCATTTTCATGCTTTTCCAGACATATTAATCAGAACAGAATTTGAAACTGATCAACTGTCATTATTGTTTGTGTATTTGTTACGATGTATAAGTGAACTTCAACATATGCCCAAGAACTGCTGAAAAGTTAGAAAGTGCAGGTGAACTGACACCAATCACATAAACAAGAACAATAAAAGTACATTGCCTAGTTGTTGGGGGAAAAAACTTCATGGTTTACAAAGAAGCAGCTGAAAAGAAGAAGCGTGGCATTTTCTTTGATTGTATTGATAATCATTTAACGGTGTGTGCAACCAGTGTGTCAGAAGCTGAAAATGAAGAGACATGCACTTTTCATAAGAGCATGAAAACTCAGTCAACTAATGCCATCTGTCAGCGAAGCGGTAACTGGGAGCAAACAGTGCAGCACAGCAGGGGGTGTCATCGGACAAAGCGGGTGAAGAGAAGAAAAGTGGCAGAGGCAAAAAGGTAATGACTGTGGGCAGTTTGGAGGCGCTGAGGTGAAATGGTGGCGAGAGACAGGCTATTACTTATCTCTGGTGTGACTTACTCAGAAAACAAGCACAGGTAACAGAAAGATGGACGGCTGACACATGCTGGCATTTTTGAGGACGAAACAAAAGAGCAAAGACATTGGTTCTTTGATTGTTCATTTAAATAGAAGTGTTGTGTTTGAAAAGTGTGTACATGCAGTGGTAGTATTCAGATGTTCCACTTTAGTAAAAGTGGATAAACTGCAGTGATAAAATATTGTTCGAAGTAAGAATGCTAATGCAGAGTATTAATAATTAATACATTGCATTAATTAATGGTAGGTAAATGTGATGATGAAATAAAGTGAGTAAATATGTTATATAACAGGACAGTACTCAAGTATATTATGCATACCTCAAAACTGCATTAAAGATTGTTAACTATTGTTTTTAGTACCAAGATCAAAACAATATAATTATATATTTTATCGAAACAGAAGCAGCTGTCCGTGAACTTTAACTGAAATCAGTGGCACTGGAGTGTGGTGCCATGGCACAGTAGGGAGCCCTATGAAGGGTCAAGGGCTTTGCATAATTTCCTCCTTTCTTCCTCTTTTTTTCAGTACATTTGTAACAAACTCAAATAAAAATTGGTTATATAAACCAACCAAGCACAGTTTTAACTCACTCCAGACATTTGATAGTAGCTTTTGGAATGAGACAATCTTTGATATGGTTGTTTGTGTTCTTTGTTATGTTGCCCAGAGTAACAACCCACTCCCCAACCAAAACGATTAAAAAGGCATACTTCCGTAAAAGATGGATAAGGAATAAAAAGTGAAGGTTGAAACATTGGCCTCGAGAGGATATCTAAAAGGCTTCCACCCCAGGAGCCCATTACTTTCCTCTAAAACAGGGCACAACTAAGAAAAGAAGAAGAGAAGAGCTTTGTGAAAAGAGGCCCCATGTGAGGTACAAGTATTTCTCCTGACAAGCATTAACTCTTTTTAATATAATCATCCAGTTTGCCCAACACACACATCCAGCATCACAAGCCAAGTATTGTATGGTGGTGGTAGTGTATGAATTGGTACAGTCAGTGGGTGCATAACAAACTGCCTGAATTAAACTGTTCACTTTATCTTTGAAGCTCAGGCCATTTCCTTCATTAATAAATAAAATCCTTCATCATATGCGTCCTACCTTTGCTAATATCCTGGTACTCCAGCCACAGCTGTCTCTGGACCTGCTTGTTGGGGTACCAGATGGTACAGGACTCCTGGAAGCCGTACACTGCCTCCTGGACGTAGTGGTTCCCAAACTCCCTGAGGATGGAGACAAAGTCACCCCGCTGCGTCGCCCCATCGAGAGAATGGATGGCCGAGCTGAAGGCTGGGAAGATGGAAGAAAAAATAATGAAACAAATAACCTGGATGAGATTCATGAGAGTTTCAAATTACAGGGAAAATCTAAATCTGATTTCTGTTTGTTTAGTCACTGCTTATTTTCCTCAATATTCTAAAAATGTCTGATTTGCTTTACAGCCCACAAAGCTGCAGCATCTCACAGACTTTGCATGGAACACAGATAAAGAGTGGCAGTGGTTTGTGACAGTCTACACGCCAACTTAAACTACGTTCACATCAGCATGCTACAATGCTCACAATGAGTATTCTAGCATGCTGAAATTTGGCACGTGTCATGTTAACCGGATTAACCATATCCGTTTAGTGTATTTATATGGCAACCTTGGCTTAATGGTGTTGAACACAACAGCTGAGGCGGATGGGAATGTCGGTACTTTACTATACTATAAAAAAAAAGCACATAACATTCGGACAGCACTACAGAATGGCAAATGGATTATACAGTGATTAGTGAGTGATTTTGGACACAGCCAGTTGTATATGTTAGCGAGGCTTAAGCGAGCTAACACCATTAGTTTGACAGGTATTTGGAAAAAAAATTCACTGGACAGATGAAAACCTAACTGCTTGTGGTATTAATGGATCAAGTCAGGGATCGCTAAAGTCTCTATGGAATATTTTAATAAATCAAGTGGGTATAAATGTAACAGTTAAAGAGATGTTTCAGTCTGGATCAAAGCAGTAGTCTGACTAACCGACAACCATCTCTAGAGCCATGTCACTGTCATGAGTCAGAGGCACCATAAATTAGAAAATGTAATCGAATGACACATGAATATGACATGCTTGAATTAAAAAAAACAGCACAGTCCCAATACCTTTCTGGGGGAATCAGAAACCTGATGCTGACAAAGTTCGGTATGAATAAATAAAATCAGCCTGGGAGGCCTGGAACACTGAGGAGTTTTGTTGTGTAGTTTCAAACAGAATACAGAAACTTTCATGTTTACACTTTGCTTCTTTTCTACTGCAACTTTAATCTTCTTGTCAGCATTTTTCCCTTTTCTCTATTATGAGTTTTCTTTTCTTCACAGTTTAGTGGGTGCTATGTTTTGGACTGGACCACTTGACCACAGGCAAGTCAGAGATGATGGTCAAGGTAAATGCTGCACTGGAATATAACTGGTATCACAACAAACAGACCAGTCCTGGATTCAGTACTGACTCAGTAAGGTCATACATGTTATACAACAACCCTTTGGTGGTGTAATCCACAATAAGTACTGAACTGTGTAAGGGTGGATTTACTGTGTGTGAATTTCACCTTTCATTTTTCAGATGAGGATGAGATCTGGCCACTTTCATATAAAAATGACAAAATTAATTCAGTTGAAGGGTCTAAAGCTCTGCGGCAAGCTAGTAAGTGAATTAAATTGTTTTGATAGCTGCTGTTTCCAAGGTCAAGAATCGACTGTAGTGATCAACGTCTGAATAACTGTATATTGTGTACTGAGTCAATGTCAGTTTCATCATTGACGTTTCCATGGCAACTGAGCAAATCAATCTGTTGAAGAGGACGGTGTGATGTGGTTGAAAGCTCCAGAACCAAGAGGACTTTGACTTGGTAATGTCTTTGCCCACTGTTTTGACCATCAACAGAAAGATACCAGGTGGTTCAGATATTGTTTTTTTGTTTAGTTTTTTTTAAGTTTGCCTTGATCTGAATTGTGTCCCATGAGGAACCAGAGCTGAAATGACTGTTTTCACCCACACCAGTGGAATCAAAGGTATTTAAACTAATGAGACTAATTCTCTCCACACAAATTGAGTTATTTTTTAAATTGTAATGACACATTGAACACAAAATTATGAATATTAATTTAATTCAAGTATATTCACTGACTGGGCTGCAGAGCGACAAAATAAAGTGCACTTGAAAGCATGTTTGACATGATACGCTGACCACAGTGTAACAAAATGACTGCGTGCTCACTGGGATTCTCTCTTGGCAAACACCGGAAAGCAAAAGTGCAATAGCAGTTTATCATTATCATTTCCAGGAGAAGCAGTATTAATATCTCAGCACTCACGCTCCACTTGCTCTTACTTCTCCTCTAAAATTAAATTAGGAGGCCACTGAAGTGAGAGACAGAGAGCGCAGTGAGGATGAGCGATGGGCTTTGCTATCAGATGTAAAAATCAGTGGCCTCCCCCCTCTGGTGGCTGTTGAAAAATGATGAGCTAAAGTGGGAAATAGGAGGAAAAAAAAAAAAAAGACGGAGGCTGCCGAGTCTCTTCTGAGTGAAGAGAAAATAGAAACCGTATCCTCAGCAGACATGGCAGCCACTTACAAACCACAGCAGCGCCACTGGAAATGCATTAGAGGTGTCATGGCTGTATTTACAGTAGGGGTGGCTGCACTCATCAGAATGAAAACTATTTATGATGCGTTTCTGAATAATGCATGCGCATAAAACATGACCAAAAAAAAAAAAAAAATCTAAATTCATAAACAACGCACTTCTCCAAGCCAAGGAGAATGATCGAGTGCAGTATTTCAACGAGTTTTACATTATCCCGAAGTACTGCCAACAGAAGACGTTATGTAGCGCGGCAAATGAAAAGAAAGAAGTCAGACATATTTCTTTATATAACAATACATTTAGTAGGGAGAAAGCCATCAGAAAATATTCAGTATAATCCCTGATGTGTCAGCAGCCAGGAGCAGCCTTCAGAAGAAGTGCTGCTTGACTAATACCTATCCACAGTTATCTTATTCTGTGAAGTTTCCATGGCAGGCGCTGTCAGATTGCCTTGGTCTTGCTATGGATACAAAGCTTGTGATATGTGACAGGCTATCACAGAGACAAAGACGAAGGCAAGGGAAATAAAACGAGATACACATTTATGTATGCTGACCTCCTTTCTATCTATCCATCAAGATAAGTATCTGTCATCATATTTGCATGTGACATCCACTTTTTATCTCGAAAATGCTCCTATTTAAGCAAAAGGCTCCTGTGAATGAGATTTAAAAGAAAAGAAATAGCTGACGTGAATATCAACGGTATCAAGGCTGCTCTGTATGCCTGCTGCCAAAACCACTGGTGTCACATTCTACCATTCATAATAAATATATCGTCTTAACCAGTATGTCTTAGAAACAAGCTCAATGACATCAACGAGTAAACAACACATTTAAAAGAAAACATGATTTACAACAATCATGCAACCATCTGTGCAGAAATAAATGGTAATGAAATTGTCTATATTTATAAAGTGCTTTGCTAGTCTTGATGACCACTCAAAGCGTGTACATTTATAAAAGGCAGTACTTGCAAAACTTTTAAAGTAATGTCAGTTGGACCATGACTTTGGTACATGCCGGAAGTTTCTAATCAGAAATTTCAAAGGGATTTGTACAGACATCTGTGGCCCTCAGACAGTTTCTTTCTCTTACTCTCCCTTTCACTAGCATCTCCTGTGGACTGATATTGTGGAATATCATTTTTATTAATTTATTGATTTTTATTTTTTGTACAAAAGCACCATCATCATAGTTGTTACCCTTCCAGACATCAAATTGATGGACCTTGACACAAACAACCCTAATGATTCTGGTTCTCCCTTCACTTGTCGTCCAGCACCATCATGAGTCAGAAAGTGTGAAATATCACAACAAGCAGGTTGAGTTCCATCGAATTCAGGACCATCACCAGGTCAGACCACCCGCAAAACAAGTTACAATCCCATCAGCCTCAGCTGTACTTTGTGTTTAGTGCTCAACGCCATGCTGTTGGTTAAACTGTGAGTGCTAATGCTAAACCAAATAGTTTGATGGTCAACATGATAAATATTATACTTGCTAAACAGCAGCAGTTTAAAAAAAAAGAGACATCATGTAACTGGATGAAGCTGAAATTTATAATTGTGGCTGACTCTCTTTGTTATAAACTGAAAGCCCATTCCATTAGACATTAGCTGTTACAACCATGTTTACACTCAATCTGGTTTGGACACACTTAACTTAACTATGCCATTTTTAAGGCCCCGAGTTTAGGTGCTCCCAACAAAAGCCACCTCCTTGTGAAAACCTGGTTTCTATCGTGTTTGGATACATTTGTCTTTCTGAGCACCCTGATGAAGGGTGCCTCTGGACACAAGTGGATATTCAAAGATATGATGACTTGTCAACAGTCAACGTAGGAGTCAAGGTTGCATTTAAAAGACCCAGTGTGTGCTTCATGTTACAGCTCTGTGTCCCTCTTGTTAAGCTGTGCTTGTTTGAGCAGCTTTTCAGCTCGTGCCCTTTAGAAGTGGCATTTTGCTCATTTGTGATTAAAGGGAAGTTGACTCTCAGCCATTTATCGCCCTGCAGGGTTCCCTCCAAGCACCACAGCCGAAGTACCACCAACGTCAGTCGATAGTCGACGGCTTCAACTTGAGTTTAATTGGATACAATGGACCCAACTCAAACCATTTAGCACTACTGCACAAAACTGGCAGCAATGTGCCCTGTGGTGATGGGCTTTACATGTTCAAGGGTTGTTTTAGCATAAAACTGCCTCTGTTGCTACTAAAAAAAAGATTTACAAATGTGCGTTTATTTTTTCTGCAGGCAGTGCACATGTTAGACTTTATTTTGTTCCTCTGTATGCATAAAGTATTGCATTCTATATACCTTTACATCAATTACATCTCATCAATGTAATGATTCAGTTCATTTTATAATAAATCATGAGCACACTTCAATCAGATATTCCATGATTGTAAGGCGGAGGCCAGAGTTAAGACCCACTGAGAGGGGTATTATTGGCAATTGGCTCTTTCAATCATTCTATCTTAATCCATTTAGACCAGGTGCAACATCTGCTTGTCTATACCTTTAAAATCAGGTGTGACGTTTGCATGCTCCTCCCTTTGCATGTCATCTTTTAAAAACTGTGAGTGATGAAATACTGTGTGATTGAAACACTCCAGAGAAAGTCCAAATAAATTATGGGAAATGTAGTTTCTTTATTTGTTGGCACTCTCAGCCTGCAAATACATCGTTCAGTAGGTAAGAGACATGTTTGAGGAGTTTAGGGAATCGACAGTGAGTTCAAATAAAAGTTAAATGTTGAAGTTTTCAACAGTTTTTTTTCTTTTAATGTGTCTATCTGCTTCAGAGGCTGAGCTATTAAAGCTTTTGTAAATTTGGCACCTTGGGTCTTAATGGGTTTATGGCAGCCATTTGACTGGTATTGTTTTTGTGACACCAGTGACACCACAAAGTAAAATGCTCATAGTTGTCTAATGGTCAGACATGGAGGCATGAAGTGCTTTTGACTAGACGAAGAAAGAATGCGGTAGTTTTGTATAGTTCTCTCAAAAAGTGTGTTTCATAGTTACGAAATATGATGTGTATAAAAATATGACTTTGTGTCATCTGATGTTGCCTAGGTAGTCCCATGCTCAACAAGCACATTTGCAGAAGATATTCAATGATGAATTTCAGCCTTTCAGTTCTTGGGTAATAGGTTTTGTCACTGTGGTGTATCAAACGGGTGAATTTTATATTTAAAAGTGTGGATTTTAAGATGTTAATCACAGAAAATACTAACTTAAATACTAAGTCCTCGAGCTGTCACTATGAGCTGCCAACTTTGACATGTCATAGTAATTATAACGTTATAAATAATTGATGGCCAGAGCTGTTTTTTTCTCCTCAGTAAACATGAGAGATTCTAAGCTACAGAGACCAGGGCAGAGTCTCCCCCGGCATAAATAAACAATCAGCAATGACAAATGATATATATAATTGATTTCCAGAAGCTCAGGCTGATTTACCTTGAGAGAGGACCCACTGATTGAGTTTGACGTGGTAGAGCACAGAGCGGAGACTCCAGTGCTGCACAAGGGGGTAGCCAGACACCTCGCTGTAGTTCACCATACCTGCATAAACAAACACGGGTTTATTAACATGAATTCCGTCCTTGGTGCCAGATGAAATCATGGCTCAGGGTTCTTCCACAGCTCACATCTGAAAAACATACAGACACATATTAATGCAATATTGACTCCTCCATGGTGAAGAGGAGATTACAGTGAGATCAAAGTTAGTTTTACCTGAAGAATCAGAAAGAATATTCAGCGAACATTAACATCATATTAAATGGCAGTAGAGAGAAGCAAGGGGAAGTCTCCTATGTAAGATCAAAGTGGAGCCTGCACTTCAGCTCAACCCCACCAGAAACATGAATACACAGGAAATGGTAACATTAATGTAAAATGTGTTCACAGACAGTGATGTAGTAGAAGGTCGGCTGTTGAAAGTGAATGCTAGTATGGATATACAGCACGGTCATATTAAACAGGAATATGTTTATATTAATCACACACATATACCGCCAACTGTTCCCTCAAATACAGATTTTCATACATTCTCTCTTTACAGCACAATGTTTTTGCATTACACTGAGAATTTAGATGATAGAAATGTATGACAAACAAATGCTGAACTCAGTGTTGTTCTTCATGTCTAATAAAGACTAGAGAATAAAAAACTATGTATCCATGACCCTGAGTGTATCATTATAATTTAAATTAGACTCCAGTAATTGTATTTATTTACTTCACAAATAAAAAACAATATCAGCCTTAACAGAAAAAAACATTTACAAATCACCACCAGAACAATACGACAACCTCTCACAGAAAATATGCAATATTAAATTATGAAATGTCCAAGTTCAAGATTCATGTATTATTATGATTTCCCTTAAGAGAAGTAAAGCGATTTAACAAAATTATTATTATTATTTTAGTTAAAGAAGTTAGTTAAAATTGTTGGTTAGTAGATATCCGTCAGTCTTGGTACATGTTGAATCTCAATTCGATATTTGAGTTTTGCACATTTTCAGCTGCAGTTGTAAACGTGGAACTTTAACAGAAATTGATCCGATGTTACAATAGTTTCAATATAACGAGTCAATATCCAATCTGGAGACCAATTAAGATTCTGTTTCTGAGTCACTATAAATCTGTATTCTGCAAACACCAGTTTAACACTTCAGTGCAGCTGGAGAATATACTGCCACCATATCTTTTTTTATGTGACTTTAAAGCAGTGTTCCTTTACAGCTCAGTATATAATCTATATTGATTTTGTCTCATTTACCAAACCTTTCCCTGCTGAAATCAATACCAGCAGAAGTGAACCATGTACAAATGTTTCTCATGTTGATTCACAGCATGGTCCATCAGACGTCATGCACGACATCTTATGTACGGTGGCTAACAGTCAGTGGCACATAAAGTGTCACGTACATGTAAATGAAACAGCAATGAGACACATGACGGAAGAGGAAATACATTTATCATTCACCGCAGGGGGAGAGGCTCTCTGCTGTTCTGAGTCAAGTGTGAAAGGACCCATGAGCTTCTTTTTTAACAGCATGTCGCGTTAGCAGATTCTTCGTGCTCACAGAAAGTGAATAAACTCTCAATCCTTTCTCTTTTCACATATTAT